GTTGAGGACTGTTAGGTTGCCAAGTATCTGAAAATCAAAGCGGTGATAAGATATACAGGTATACAAAAACTGAATCATGCACTGATGCAAATGTCCTATAGCGGCTGCAAGAGGCTTACACTTTGTTGTATAACTGTTACCTGCAGCCCTTAACAACCTCTTAAATGACTGAAGTGTCCTATTAGGTGTGCCCATTCCGCGTATAGCTGTTCTGAGAGGGTTTTGCCAATGTTCTTACAGAATACAATGCTGTTTAAGGAATACTGTATATCGTTCTTGCAATCCCAATAGGAGTGATAATTGTTAGTTGGGTTATCTACCGTTTACGCTTGTTTTTCTTCTAACATGAAGGGACGATTTCCAAACTTACGGGCCGAACAGAAGCCCAGTGGGCAACGTGAAAAGGGGGATTAAGTCAGCCAATTGGGAATTTGCAGGCCCGTTTCTATTATTCCTCCCCAAAAATATGTTTCCAAATTATGAGCGACGGAACCGTCTCTTTGAGGAATCCATATTGACCGTATCATTTTCTTGGTGCCATACATCCACTTTACGACGTCAGCAAAATTTGGATCTCACCGTACATTGATCCAATGCTTTTACATGGAGACTCCAACGAACGATCGGACGCGAAACTTTTCGACCTTGTTCAGTTTAAATGGTTTTATTTTAATAAAATTTTGTATATGTACTAATGAAGCATAATAATAAGTAAATGATAAAAATTTCAAAATGATTGCAGTGCTTTAAAGCCCTTTGACCTTTAATAATGTGTGGATGCACCCTGATGTGCTACGCATTCTCCAACGCCCTAGGCATGCTTCTGATCAGGTGGTCAATGTCCTCCTGTGGTATCTCATTCAGGCAATCACCAACTCCTCTCGAAGTGCTTCTAGAGTCTGAGGAGGACGTTGCAAATTGAGCAATCTCCTACCCATCATATCCCACACGTGCTTAATTGGGGATAAGTCGGAGATATTGGTGGCCATGGTAACAATGTGACATCATTATGTTGAAAGAAGTCTATTGTGACTCTTGCAACATGTGTCGGGCATTATCTTGTTGGAAAGTTGGATCTGCCAGGGTGTCAAGATAGGGTAAAAGATGGGGTTCTAGAACTTCGTGGATATAACGCTGCGCGTTCATGTTACCTCTGATGAAGATTAAAGGTGACTTGGAACCATAAGCTATAGCACCCCAAACCATAACTCCAACAGTGTGATGAACATGTCTTTCAACAAAAAACTGTGGATTCCTCCTTTCACCACGTCGCCTTCTAACCCTGGCACGACCATCGTGCATGCCTAAACAAAATCGAGACTCGTCACTAAATACAATACTGTTCCATTCCTGATCCCAGAGTGGCCGTTCTCTGCACCACTCAAGGCGATTACGTCGGTGTTCTCGAGTTAAAGGGAGGACCCAGTGTGGCCGGTATGAAAACAAGCCAAAACTTCTCATTCGTCGGTAAACACTTCGCATGCCAATAGGTCTTCCGTGTTCTACAAACCGTTAATTTGCAATGGACCTGGTAGTGGAGAAACGGTCCCTTAAGGCCAATAATCTTAGGCGGCGATCTTCACGGTCTGTTGTTCTACGGCGGCGTCCAGTGCCCCTTGCTCTTTGCGCACGGAAGCCATGCCTGACAACACCTAACCGCAGTGTCTACACTTCTTTGCACTCTAACTGCAATTGCCCGAAAAGAAAGTCCAGCTTCCCGAAGTCCCACTATACGGCCCCTATCAAGCACACTAAGTTGACGAAATCGTACAGGTCTCCGTACTCTAGGCATCGTAACCGATCGTAAAGGATGTCAAGAACCAAAATCCGCCAACGTTGATTCTTTACTGCGGCTGAAATATTCATTTTTAGAGCGTTAGTGAATTAAAAAAAGCAGTATAAAAACCGGAATGTCCAACTGATAAGGCTGACAATTTTTTCACTTGTTATTTACAGTAAGATAAGTACATTCACCAACTTTTATTAAAATAAAACCATTTAAACTGGGTGTTCGGATTTATTGTCACTTAGTATATATAGTTTCTGTAGACAATATCCATACAGCGATAAATTTTGAAAAAAAAGATGATGATTTATGATGTGATCTAGGATAACCATTGCAAATGTTCTCTTTAATTGTTGGAAACAGTTCTATTTCAAAACAAGTTTTTATGAAATTTATGGGATAGGTACATTGCTTGGGCGCCCGCAGGAATTTTCCTCGATGGGGGGTTTGATCGTCACCAGGAGATAATATTCTGTGAAAGTGTACCTGCCCCAAAACTGGAAGAACTTGAAGAGCGGCAAGTGAGAATTAAAAAAAGGACGGAATATCACAATATCAGTGCCGCCCCCTTACGGATGGCCATGTCCTTGAACGCATTTTGATTTTCAAATGAAAGGTCCATAGGTTTTGGTTAAAAACTTGACTACAAAAAACAGGACTTGAAATATTCCAAATTTTTGAAGGTGGTTTACAATGTTTCAGTTTCTTGCTTTTGTTCCACTTACTCTTGAATCGCGTTTGGTCAATTCCAAAAACACAGTGATACTCAGTATCGCTCCAAAGCACATTACTCCCCAAATTTTATCAAAATCGATCTATCGTCGTGGGTTACTGATATAAGCTAACATCACAAAGCAGAAATAATGTTACATCGTCAATCATTTCATTAAGAATAATTATAATTTTGAAATAAATTTCTGCTGCTAAAATTATTTGTCTTACGCTAGAAAAAATACATCAAATTTATCGAATCTTTATTATTAGAATTTTTGCTATAATTGCGCTTTGTGAACCATATAAATTATATAAATGTAATTTTATCACATTATTCCCTACTATACATCTTTCAATTTTCTTAAACATGCATACGCAAATACGCTCAACACTCTGTATACAACATTATCCGGCTCTCTAAAGCCCCTAATACATTTCAAAACGAAAAATATCCGTCGAATAATTCCTGGAATTATTTCTGGTAAGCCAGAAATGCATTTTTAGGTCCAGATTACGGGTAAAGAAATGATAGCGTTGATTTCGGTGGGACGTTGGTGGCGATTTTTGATTTTTCTGTGCCCTTATCTATGTTTTTTGTGAATATTTTTTTTAGTGGTGTGCATTTGTGTGGACAATTGGCTAGACCATTGGTTCCCAAAGTGGTCTATATCGACCCCTAGGGGTCTATGACGACCTGCAAGGGGTCTACGTCAGCGAAAAAAAATTTGGGGGTCCATGAAATGAATATGGGGGTCCACGATAGTGGATCTCAACACATACACTGATAGTACCTATTTACTTACATCATACTATCTTATAATATCAAAACATATACATTATTTATAAAAGTGCCTATGAAGTAAAAAATTTATTATATATGTTTATAAAATTGTGTAAGTTGTAGGATGTTGGTATTCGCTTTGTGGTACGCAATACACTTTGAACTTTTAAAAACCTGAGAGTCGCAGTCTCAGAGCTTCGCTACCTTACACTGACTTGTTCAATTCGTCACTCTATAAATACGAATGTGGGACAAATACGTTATATTTGTTTCCTGAATCTTGAAAAGGAAAGTGCTAAGAAAATATTTTAAAAAGTATAAGCAGATAGTATATCACACAAATTATAGTGAGTCAGTGTTATTTTGTTTGAGAGTTCTGGAGAAAAGTAAGTACATTATTTTTTATTAAATTTTTGTTTTGTACTCGTAGTTAGCAAAGATAGATAAATTACGCCAATAAATATTCAATCATGCAAAATTACACGAGTACTCCCAAATAGTTTCTTTTTTAAAGTTTTAGTAATCGGTATATAATTACAGTGCAATCTCCGTAACTCGAGCTAATTGTTACAAGAAGATGTTCGAATTATGGAATGGTTTCGGAAAAATCAAAAATATTTTTTTTGAATATACAGCTGCTGGATTTTCTGTCTTATTTAAATAATTTAATTTTGCCCACAGATGACTGATGCCATGTCCGAATCTAAAAAGAAATGTAGACAGTACAGTGTTAATTATTTGAAATTTGGCTTCATTCCATCGTTGCCGGACAAACAATCGCCTATGTGCCTTTTATGCAACAAAGTTTTGGGCAATGATGCTATGAAACCACCTAAACTGCAAGACCATCTGAGAAGATGCCACCTTGATAAACAGAGAAAGATTTGAAGGGACCTACACTGGACAGAATGTTCGCTTTGACGTCACAAAGAAATGATGATGGTTTGCGGGCATCTTACAATATCTCGTTACACGTTTTACACAAACCTGCATCTGATATCATTAAACGAATTCTCTTAAGCCACAATACTGTTGAAAGACGTATTGATGAAATGAGTTCTGATATTGAAAGCTTCTTATGTAATTATTTGCAAACGGCCCATTTCTCTATACAACTGGACGTGTCAACTTTACCTCATAATGCAGCATTATTATTGGCATATGTTCGTTTTATTATGAATCAAGAAATCTACGAAGAACTGCTCTTCGCAAGAACTTTGATAACCGACAGTAAAGGTGAATCAATATTTCATGTTTGAAGGATTACTTCATTGAAAAAGCAATTCCTTTATCAAATATAATATCAGTAGCTACAGATGGAGCACCGCCATGGTTGGACGTTATCGTGGATTTATAAGCTATTTAAAACAAAATATGTCAGGGGTGTTAGCAATACATTGCGTCATCCATCGACAATATTTAGATGCTAAAAGTTGGAGTGTTAGATTGCATGAATCACTTCATTTAGTCATTGATGCAGTAAACCGAATCCGAAGCAACGCGTTGAATACCCGGTTATTTACGCAGTTGTGTGAAGACAATAACGAACACTTTCGTCAATTACTCTTTCACACTGAAGTGACGCTGGCTGTCGAAAGGCTTATGTGTGACAAGATTTTTTGCACTTTTTTGAGATTATTTTAGAATTTCCGGATACTAAAGATAAAATTTTAAAATAAAATTTAATGAAGAGGGAAACAGACATCGCCTATTTAACAGATTTGTTTACAAAATTTAAATGGTTAATTTGCAATTACAAGGCGAAGGTTTAAATTTGATTAAAACAAAGTCCATCTTATCAGCGTTTCTTGCCAGAGTTAAACTAATGACGCAAAATATTGGACGGGTCGAATTTTATCAGTTCCCCAATTTGTCACAGACAAGCTGCCGGGAAGACGGCGTTTCAAGTTACGTTCACCATTTAAATTCCCTCTATTCAGATTTTGAATCTAGGTTTGAGGATATTTTGAGTATGGTAATACCACAGTGGATAATTAATCCATATGGTGACATAGAAGAAACGAATGCCATAATACAAGAGGAACTGACTGAACTAAGTACAAACGAAGAACTTAAGGTTCAGTTTAAAAACGGATATCAGCAATTCTGGCTGCAAAACAACATACACGTTACTTATCCCGTATTATGGAATCTAGCGAGGAAATTTTTAATTTCCTTTCCATCGTCATACCTAGTGGAAAGGGGGTTCAGCGCTGTCACCAATCTCCTAACAAAAAAAAGAAACAGACTGGACATCGTTAGCCGAGGAGATTTAAGATAAACCCTTACAAAATTGACGCCAAATGTTGATAATTTATTATTAAAGCATCAGGTTCATCCTTCTCACTAAAAATATTGACTTATTGTTTATGTTATTTTATTTATAGTTTATTTTATGTTTACTGGTGTCTAACCAATAAATGCCCGCATTGGGAATAAGTGCCCGCATTGATTTTTTTAAAGAAACCCCCTTTATAGAAAATATTTTTTTTTTAAATTATTCTGAAAATTCAAGGATAGGTAGACACTAAAATCCTTAATTTTTGCCTATTTTTAGATAACTTAAACGTATAAGAAGTGGAATTTAATCAAACTAACAGTGAAATTATTGTAGAATATACGTTTATGTTATAATTAATAAACGAACTCGCTTATTGTACTATTTTAAGTAAAAAACTTTTTTTTTATTATTTTTCACTTTTTTTTTCAATGCGGGCACTTATTCCAATGCGGGCACTTATTGGTCAGACAGCTGTTATTTAATGTTACGTATATTTTTACATAACAGATACAAAATTTTATTTTGAGTAGTTTTAATTTAAATTCAATTAATAAATGTATAAATTAACATGTGTTTTTACTTTAAGTTTTAAACACTAAACTTCACTACAGTTAAAAATTTACAGGAAATCAATATCAGGTAAGTAGGGGGTCTACCCAACATGGAAAACATGGTAAGGGGTCTACGACACAAAAAAGTGTGGGGAACTCTGGGCTAGACCAACGATATGGGTTTTGTTTGATGAAACTTAAAAAGTCACAATTTATGAAATATAACCTCAGAAACATGTATCTCATGTGTCGCCTTTTTATAAGACTTTATTGGTTTTTTTGAAGTGCAGGGACTTATTTTATTTAATCCCAACCAAATTTCCAAATTGTACACACAAGCATGCAATTCTAAAGTCCAAATGGATTCTCATAAGTGTCGGTACTAATACGGAGTCGGCAAAAGAGTCAAAAGTGGCCTAGTTGCCAGGCATAGCCTCCCACCTCCACTACTACTACCCAATCTAACTGAAAGTCGGGCCTTACGGATACTAAAAAAATGACATCATATAGGTTGATTCTGTACTTCCCCAAACCGCAGTCATCCGGTTATAAAATATTATGTTTCGCACAAGTTATCTCCTCCTAAGTCCATTACGAACATGTATAAGGAATTAATTCAGCCAAATAGGCCAACACAATTAGCTCCAGTCTTCATTCATTTGACAACGTCGCGATCAGACAGCAGCAGTGGCCGCAGTGGTAGACTCGTCGGTCTCCAGATCAGTCGCCGTGCGCAGCGCGGGTTCGAATCCTGTCCTAAGGGAAATTTTTCTCTTGACTATGCATGTTGTGATTGTCCGTAGGTGGTAGACGGCCTCTGACTGTCGAACGCGGAGGGTACCCACCCGGCGGATCTCGTCGGCGGGTCTACAATGTGTACATGAACAAATCGCCAGGGCAGCGGTTAACTCGCGACAGGCTTAAGTCCTATTTTCGTTGCGCTTGAAGCTGGAAATGTTTCGCTTATTGTAAGTATTGAAGGAAATATTCAGAGGAATGCTTAGAACTACCGGGATTAGAACGGTATACATATATTAACGTCAACAAATTCAGATATACCCTCCCCTAAGATTACTATAATAATACTTATCTGTGATGCTAAAAATAGTATTTTGTATACTTTATTTTTGTTTAACAGCAGAAAGTATATCGTATACTACTGTTGTTAACAGTATAAATAGATTCTCTATACATGATGCATTTAAACGCCATTCTTAATCCTTTTTTTCAATATCGGTAGACCCGCATGTTATGTCATACTTCCTACTATTCTACATTAATCTATTTCCCACTATATGCGAACGTTCACATATCGACCCGGTTCTTATTCTGCACTTCCATAAGGGGGAAAGTTTGCAGTTAATGAAGTGAAACAAGCGGTTCTACCATTGGACGATGGCGAGTACCGACAAAAGAGAGTGGGAATATTGAAATTTCCAGAGAAAAAGTGAGAATTCTGCGAAATTTATTGTTTGAGATCGACGTGTGAGGTTGCACCAAAAGTGGGTACGGCGAAGATGGGATACTACTTGGGCATCGTAGTCGTACTGGGTTTGGTACTGCTCGTGGAAAGTGGTGAAGCTAAGGTAAGAACAGCTGCGCCCTAGATGTGAATAACTTATGGCGAAGATTTTGTCTTCTATTTATTTTCAAATATTTGTTAACTGGGAATCTGGTAAAAGTATTCATTCTGGAACTTATATGTATTTTTACTTAGATTTTTATGTAGATTTCCAAAACCATTTTCAATTATTTGCGATGCACTCTTACAAATACTGAGCGAGTTGGATGTCGTCTGTTTGAAAATCTTCGTGCGTATTCTCTGGCTGCTTCTGCTGCGTTTCCATTTACAAAGCCATACACAAAATGAATATCCGCTAACTCTTGATTGGAGAATAAAAATGGCATTTTTATAAAACTTACAAAAAAAAACAGGTAAAGAAACTAAATTTCGTGCATTCACAATTGCAAAAAAACGTTTCAGGTTTCAACAGACAACAAAACTAACTGTCAACTAATTGACGTTTAACCTTATTCTGCCTTCAGTTTCACAAATATTTGCAGGCACAGCCTACTTCTAAAAATTATCGAGATACTGACTTTTTAACGTTATTTTATTATAAGTAATTAAAAATGCATTGAACCTTAAAAATCGAAATATCTCAAAAACGGCTAACTATAACGAAAATTCACAAGAGAGCTTTTTTATGTTGAAAAGTGCGAAGAATCAGTTTTTTTATTCAAAAAGCAAAATATTGCACTAAGAAAATTTTTTCGGTCATTTTAATACACTACAGCTACAGTAGAGAGCGCCCTCTAGCGGCTACAGTAAAACTATGCCCATGGTTCGTTTGTCGTACCAAAAAACTCTTGTATATCAATTTTCACTGTTATACATCTAATATTCTTCGAAATATTAAAAAAAAAAACTATTTTAGCAAGTAAATTTAAACACCCTATATTTCGGAAGCCACGCATTTTTCGACCATGTTTATATAGACTTTATGCATTAATTTAAAAGTTCTATCGAATCTTAAAGTTATGCAACAATAACTGATACACCCTGTATATTTGAAGTCGAAAGTATTTTAAGCTGGCAAGCTACGTATTTTTTGAGTATTACGTACTTCTTGATCACTGAAAATAAAAGGACAGGTTTTAATCGCAGTCAGATGTTCAACAAGTTGCCAATAGATATCAAAGCTAATACCAACTTTCTGAAATTGGATTTGTGGATTTCGATTATCGACTACTATTATTAGGTATATTTGAAAAATATTTCATGTAATTTGAAGATTGTGTTTCAAAACAGTTTTAAAGTTTTAAAAAATTCATATTTCAAACTGTCAACGTAAACCTTGACCATATTTGGCAAAGTCCTTAAACGCTCTTGGGATATTCAGAATGCTTATGTGTTCGTATTTTTTTTTAGCAAAATATTACCAGTAACAAATGTGATATCCCTCCTTCGGCACCTAAAAGAATAGAAGAGGCTATCAACTCGTGTCAAGATGAAATAAAAATTGCTATTTTGTCAGGTAAGTCAAAATAATAAAAACCGGAAAAATAAATTTCGGAAAGAGTATTTATTTAAAAAAATCCTGAACAGTCTTTTGGTTATTCCTTATAAAATAAAAACTGTATGAACTACTACTCGTATCCGACATTAGCAGTAAAAGTCAAAGCTTATACAGTAAACGTAGGCCTCTTGAGGGGCGCCGTATCGAAGTTTGTCTATGGCTCCACACAATGTGGGCGAATCCTAAATGGAGTATAAAATCGAGATAAAGATTTGTACAAAGAAAGAAAAAACGCTTGCATTAAACAATATGAATAAGTAGATACATTAAATAAGTATTGATTTTTACAACTAATGTTACAAGATGTGCAAATAACAAATATACGTGTTTCTTTCACCTTAGAATTTTAAATAAACGTATGTTTTGTGAATACGTAAATCCATACTAATTATTCCCATCGGTCTGTCTATCGGCCCGCCTGTGTGTTGCCGTTATTTTCTCTAGTAATCTCGGAAACAAGCCATACACTGATTTTGATAAACGTTAGGGAGCGTCATGTCTGGTCTCATAGTAGATAATGCTGCTTCATTTTTGAAAATTGTTCAAATGGTAATGAAAAATGAAACAGTATCAGATTGTCCAAAAGTTTGTTATTGTATGCTTTACGACCTGAACATTTTTAAGAATGATGAAACTTTTTTGAAATCTTACAATTTTACATAATTTCGTAAATTTGCTACCATCATTTCTGATTACTTCAGGTTACAGCGTGGCCAAAAACGTTATGATGGAGCTCAACAATTTTAGCAATGCTCATTATTGATTTATGGAAATATTCAATTTTGGAGTCAATCTACTTGCCACTATTTTTTCCTTTGTTGAGTCATCAATAGCTGAAGCTTCTGAAGACAATTAAAAGTCTTAGTTGTCTCATAGGAGTCGTAATATAATTTATTATTTTTTAATTTCAAAAGGTTTATTCCCGATGTTGTAGTTCTGAACCTCAGAGCCAGACTTCGAATAAGTAGTTTTGAGATAATTGCGTTAAAAATTATTTTCTGGTATTGCGACTTAACGTTATTCAAAAAGTCGCAACTTTCTTGTTATTACAGGTAAGTGGACGCTGCAAGTCACATAATATACTAAGTGACATATAAATCCGAACACCCAGTTTAAATGGTTTTATTTTAATAAAAGTTGGTGAACCTATTTATCTTACTGTAAATAACAAGTGAAAAAATTTTCAGCCTTATCAGTTGGACATTCCGGTTTTTATACTGCTTTTTTTTAATTCACTAAACGCTCTAAAAATGAATATTTCAGCTGCAGTAAAGAATCAACGTTGGCGGATTTTGGTTCTTGACATCCTTTACGATCGGTTACGATGCCTAGAGTACGGAGACCTGTACGATTCGTCAACTTAGTGACTTTGATAGGGCCGTATAGTGGGACTTCGGGAAGCTGGACTTTCTTTCGGGCAATTGCAGTTAGAGTGCAAAGAAGTGTAGACACTGTGTTAGGTGTGGTCAGGCATGGCTTCGAGAAGGCCGTACGCAAAAAGCAAGGGGCACTGGACGCCGCCCGTAGAACAACAGACCGTGAAGATCGCCGCCTAAGATTATTGGCCTTAAGGGACCGTTTCTCCACTACCAGGTCCATTGCAAATGAATGGTTTGCAGAACACGGAAGACCTATTGGCATGCGAAGTGTTTACCCGACGAATGAGAAGTTTTGGCTTGTTTTCATACCGGCCACCACTGGGTCCTCCGTTAACTCGAGAACACCGACGTAATCGCCTTGAGTGGTGCAGACAACGGTCACTCTGGTATCAGGAATGGAACAGTATTGTCTTTAATGACAAGTCCTCGATTTTGTTTAGGCATGCACGATGGTCGTGCCAGGGTTAGAAGGCGACGTGGTGAAAGGAGGAATCCACAGTTTTTTGTTGAAAGACATGTTCATCACACTGTTGGAGTTATGGTTTGGGGTGCTAAGCTTATGGCTCTAAGTCACCTTTAATCTTCATCAGAGGTAACATGAACGCGCAGCGTTATATCCACGAAGTTCTAGAACCCCATCTTTTACCCTATCTTGACTCCCTGGCAGATCCAACTTTCCAACAAGATAATGCCCGACCACATGTTGCAAGAGTCACAATAGACTTCTTTCATCATAATGATGTCACATTGTTACCATGGCCACCAAGATCTCCCGACTTATCCCCAATTGAGCACGTGTGGGATATGATGGGTAGGAGATTGCTCAATTTGCAAGTCCTCCTCAGACTCTAGAAGCACTTCGAGAGGAGTTGGTGGTTGCCTGGAATGAGATACCACAGGAGGACATTGACCACCTGATCAGAAGCATGCCTAGGCGCGTTGGAGTATGCGTAGGGTGCATCCACACATTATTAAAGGTCAAAGGGCTTTTAAAGCAGTGCAATCATTTTGAAATTTTTATCATTTACTTATTATGCTTCATTAAGTACTTATACAAAATTTTATTAAAATAAAACCATTTAAACTGGGTGTTCGGATTTATATGTCACTTAGTATAGCAATAACTAATTTTGGATATTACTAAAGATTCACACAAAATTTTTCTAGTTGTAAAGTCAAGAAATTGTTTATTAAGGTATCATTGACGTAAAATTGAAAAACAACTCTTACTGATATTATTTACATGTGGTATAAAATTTGACATTCATCTAAAGTTACGCCCAAGTTTTTTACTGACTCGCTTACTTCTATAGTCTCACCATTTAATTTTAATTTAAAATTTCTTTTGGCATCACTACCTAAATAGTTTTGGTGAAAAATGATGACTTTCGATTTTAAAGGGTTCAACTCAAAGTTATGATTTTTTGCATACATTCTAATAGATGTTATATCTTCATTTACCTCAGATTCAGCATTTCGAATGTCGTGATTATGGAAATGACTGTAGATCTGTGAATCGTCGGCAAAGAATTGGATATTACAATATTTAACAACTGAATGGAGATCATAAATATACAAAATGAATAGGAGTGGCCCAAGTAGTGACCCTTGAGGCACTCCGGAGGAAATGAGGCACTTTGAAGATACAACCATGTCAATGTGTACCCTTTGATATCGATTTCCAAAGAAGCTCTGAATCATTTTTGAGGCAGAGTCAGAAAAACCAAATATTTGCACTTGGCCACTAGAAGACGATGATTTATGGTATCGAATGCCTTAGAGAAGTCAAGAAGAACTAATGATGTGATCATATGTTGATCCCAGGCTCTAACAATGTTATCGGTTAAGTCTAATAGGGCATCTGCAGTGTTATATCATTTTCGATAACCGCATTGTTTGGGAGGCAAAATTTTATGTTTAGAGTAAATTTGGGCGTACATTGCTTTTTCTAATAATTGGACAAAACAGGTACAATACTAATTGGTCTTAAATCAGAATATAATTTTGGCTCACTTATTTTAGCTAGAGGTAACACTAATGCTTCTTTTCATGATTCTGGGAAGAATCCCCTTTCTAAACAGGTATTTATGATGTGTAAAATGTTACCTGAAATCGTAAAGAAGCATAGTTTTAGCATTTCGAGTGACACGCCATCGCTTACTAAGGCATTCAATTTCAGATTTTAAATCAGTCATATCGATTGGTTTTAAACTTGAATCGATCACTAGAATAGTGATTCTTTTCATAATGCTCAATCTTCTCTGTGCATGAACAAATGGCGTTAATAAAAATGGAACAGAAATATTTGTTAATGTCAGTAGGATTCTTTAAATGTAGAGGAATATCGGTATTTTGTGACTGTTGGATACGCATTGATTTCAAGGATCTATAAAACATTTTTGAATCATTTTGTTGATGGAGGAATAATAAATATGCTGTTTTTCCATATCTAATTTGTCTCAAAGTTGAATTTCTGAGCTCTTTGTAGCGATTCCAGGAATCTTCTGTCTTATTAATTTTAAACTGATTTAAAGCTGTCTCTGTCTTTCATCATACGTTTAAGCTTTGATGACAGCCAGGGTGCATGCGGTTTATTTACACGTACAATTCTTAGAGGTGCATGCTTATCAAAAATTAATTTTAGCACATCTGTCAAATATGAAATTTTGTGATCAATACTCTACGGAATGTATATATATATATAATGCTCCAGGGAAAGTTAAAAATATCATTTGAAATGATAAAACATCAAAATTTTTAAAGTCTCTGAATTTAACGAATCTTTGCTCAGGTTTTTTAGACTGCAAAGTTGTTTCACAAAATACTAAAAAATGATCGGTAAATAAATCCATATTTATAGTCCCAGAATTGAACAAACTTGAAGATCATTGATAAATATGGGATCCAGTAGGCTGCTCGAAGTACTAGTTAGTCTAGAGGGTTCTATAATAACTTGATGGAATCCATACGCATTAAAACAATTTTCTAATTTGTTGTCTGAACTTAAAAGATTTATACTTATTCATATCTCCAACAACTACAACATAATCAAAGTTGGGTACCAGAAAAGAGAGAGCATTATCAAAAAATCAATGGCTTCATCAACATCATATTAGGATTTTGCGTTTGAAAATTTATTGTTTAGCGTACGGCTTGAAAGATTGAGGTTGAGGATAATACTTTACTTATTTTTATGTTGTAGTATATTAATATTTTTGTTTCTTAGACTTTGCCATGAATATATATCCTTATTAAAGGAATTTTTTTTCTATAAGGTATCGAGGCTTCGATGTTAGCAATAGTTTATGCGTGAAATTTAAGCAATGACATCCTACCAAATCATCCATTTCATCCACTTAAGTATACTTTATCTGAAATCCGTTGAAACACTGTGAAATACCGGGTGCGTTTTATATATCTATATTTAACACGCTCTGTTGCTGCAAAATCGCCAAATTTCGCAGCAAATATCCCCCGTATAAGATCAAAGGCAGTTTCACCGGTCCACGTGGAGTAAAGCACGCCTATGCGTGGACATAGCCAATGAGAAAGCGTGTATTTCAGAGCTCCGAACAAGTG